AGGACACACAGCTAAAATATAGTAAAGACAGCTTGATCTGGGTCCATCTGAATGGAATCAACGTGCTTAACTTCTGTAGCATACTGGTTTCAAGGGTTTCTAGATTCTCTAAGTATTGGGATGGTTGTCAGGTTACTAAGCAGAGAGTTGATTTTGGAAATCAATTCAATACTCTTCCAAGATATTCTTAAGATTAAATTCAGTAGTTCACTTTTTATACTATCATAGAAAATTTCTTTTGGTCATGTAGATAGGTAATCAGATAAACACTACCATATGCTATTTTTTATGAATATTTCAGTCAAAAAATTTCAGTAATAATCCAAGGAAGAAATGCATTTTTCATATGAGAACCAGGTCTTGAAAAGGGCCTTTCTTTTAAAATCTGGTGTTCATTAAGAGTTTTTTAAATAACTGAAGATTAAAGAGAAGGTTTATAATACATTAGGGAATTTTTAGACAGAGGGATTGCTCTGAATAATTTAAGCCAAATAATATCATATATAACCCTCCTTATTTCTCCTTTCTTCCTTTCAATTCAATCTGCCAATTCATTCATAGGTCAGAGGAATCACCAGATGCCCTCCATACCCGTACAGAGAAGGTGGCCAATCCACCCTTCTCCTCTTTCATACTCTTCCACATTTTGAAAGCATTTGAAAGAAAAATTTTTTCTCATAATAATAATAATAATAGCTATCAATTATTAAATATCTACCATATACAATACATTATGTTAAGCACTGTTTGTATTATCTCAAATTTTTACAACAATCTTCCTTAGAGATGAGAAATCCAAGACTCAAAGAAGTGGTTCTTTGATTTGCCCAGGATCACAGACCTTTAAACTGTGGGCTAACTGTGGGCTAATGATTACAGTTGTTGAGAAGAAAGGAGGAACCAAGAGAGATTGTTAAGATACTATTTGTCATTAATAGTATCTGCCATTAATAGCAGAATTTGGGATTCAAACCCAAATGTATTTGACTCCACAAATCTATGTTAATACTCAAGTTGTTTGGCTCTGAAAAGCCAAGAAAAGAGACTAAGCAATTTAATTCCTGAAGTGACACTAGAATGCAATAACCATCTCTGAGATATTAAATTTATATATTATCATATCCTAATTTCCTAGAATCAATTTATATTCCATAATTTATTTTTCAAGAATAGTAGATAAGTATACTATAAATAAAATGTATGAATATAAGAAAATACATATTATACTAAAATATTATAAACATAAATTTTGGCCCTCATATCGTATTAAGAATAAAGTACATGATTAAAATGTCTTATAAATAGATATAGCATTCCATTAAGGAGCACAACTGAAACAATGTGATTAGAAATGATTATTTCTTTGTTATGAAATTAACAAGTAAGTAGTTTATTCCTACTAATAAGGCAAATTACTGTAAGGATTTTCTCTGCTACAGAATTTATTTAGTTATCAAGGCCGAGATTTATTAGAATAGTCCTCATTGCTTTTATTTGATGACACAGTTGCTTACAGTAGTTTTGTTATTCATTCTCAGGAAACATGTCCAGGAAGCAGCAAGTAAATCAGATTTGAAACCTTTGTTTCTGGTGCATTACACAGTATTATAAAACTGATTAAATGCCAAGAAACACTACAATTTAAAAAAAAGAGCAGAAATCAAAAGAAAAAAAATGAATTATTTTTTAACATCAATAAAATGTGTTTGAGTTGTTTTTTCCAGGAAAGGAAAAGCCAGGAGATAAAGTGAGCGCAGGGCCAGGGTTCACAGACTGAGGCAGAGGCTCCCCACTAGGTGCCCAGCCTACCAGCCCAGCCAGCTGCTGTTTCCCCCACTTAAAAAATAAAAATCATCACTGGAGCCCTGAGTGAGGCTATACATCTCCTGAGAACTCACTCTACAACCATGAGGCTGGCACCTCAGGGTGCCAAACTCCAGAGTCACTGACTGGTTTGACTCTCAAATGGCAAACATGCATTTGGTCTTGTACTGATCATGGAATAAACAAATATCTCTTCAAAAAATTTTTTTTAATTCCATTATTTTAGGTTCTTGTAACTGAATGTTTGTCTGCTTAGATGACAACATAACTTGCCTATGGCTACCCAAAACATACACAGAAAATAATCACATAGTTCTTTTCATAGGGAATTTTAAAATCTAAACCTAGCCATTGTTTAATTTCACTTTCCTGAGCTTCTTTCTTTCTTCTTTCTTCTTTCTTCTTTCTTCTTTCCTCCTCCCTCCCCCTCCCCTTTCCTTTCCTTTTTTTCTTTTTTATTTAGGCTAATAATTTTGTATTAGACAGTACAATGATTCCATTCAGGCATTCTGAATCAATCAATTTAACAAAAATTCATTGAGTATCATATACAAGGCACTGCTAAGCTTCAGGAAGGTAAAAAGATGAGTAAGTCTTGGAAATAAATATAGTAGCAAACAAAATATGGTAGCAAAAGTAAGATCAATACCTTAATAAGGTATAAAGTGCTATGTAATCACAGTATGGGAGCAATTAATTCCAGAAGAGTACATGTGTAATAAAAAAGTTAGAAAAGAAACTAACAGTAAATACCTATATTGAAAATATACCAGGTCTTATCTACAGACATATTTTGTTCAATCCATATCAAGTTGACAGGTATTATGAAATTTAGCTTAGTTTTTAAAAGAATCTTGAGTTTTTTCCCCAACAACTTTCATATATAACTAAAATTCAAATAGAAAGTAGAAATCTTATCCCATAATAAATAAAATTGTAACTTTGTAGGCTTATAAAAGTCAAGACTCATGTGACTTGAACAAAATGATACAAAGCCAGGGCCCCAGTGTACCTGGCCCAGCTGCGGGCTCCGCCTGCCCCAGCAGGGACTTCTCTCCTGCATCCCAGTGGAGCATGCTGTAAGATTTGCAGCTTCTTTTGCAGCCATCAGGACTGAAGAATCATCCTGAGGAATTGCTCAATGATGCAGCAGCCCCTAGGGCTTTATACACCCTATTTCCTCTACCTCAAAAGCTTTCATCCCCATCCTGTCTCTATTGTTATCTGGTGACTATCACTTTTAGATGTAAGCTTGTCTCCTTTGAGATATCTTCTCAGAGTCCTCCCAATAGATACTACACACCATAGTATGAATTAAGGGTCCCTCTTAGTTCTCTAATTGTACCCTAGATTAACATCATTGTAGCACATATATAAATCCATTTCTATGTGTCTTTTCCTCCAAAGGTCTGCAATCACCTTGCAGACATCCCCTAGCACAGTAATTTTACATTGTAGGTGTTTTTATGGATTGAAGTGTGTCGCTCAAAAGAGATATGTTGAAGTCCTAACTCCTAGTACATCAATATGTGACCTTATTTGGAAATGGAGTCATTGTAGAGTAAATTAGTTAAGATAAATTAATACTGGAGTAGGGTGGGCCCCTAATCCAATATGACTGGTGTCTCTATAAGAGAGACATGTGATGAAAGAAACACACAGGGAAAAGGCAGTGTGACAATAAAGGCTGAGATTAGAATCATTCAGCTGCAAGACCAGGAACACCACAGACTGCCAGCCAACTATCAGAAGCTAGGAAGAAGCAAGGATGCATTTCCCTGCAGGTTTCAGAGAGAGCATGGTCCTTCCAACACCTTGATCATGGAATTCTAGCCTCCAGAACTATGAGACAATAAATATCTGTTGTTTTAAATCACCCAGTTTATGGTACTTTGTTACAATAGCTCTAGGAAAATAGTAAGTTGCTCAACAATTTTGATTAGATGGATGGGTGAATGGATGACTTAGAATTTTTACCTGACTATGACAAATCTATTCTATCTATCCTCAGTTTGTTTTGTCTGTTTCTAGCCTTGATCTGAATAGAGCTTCTTTAATTGTATTTGGTCATTTGAAGCTACAAATTTTATTTGTCAGATTCTCAGGGATTTCTTTTGGTCTTAAATACTCCATATGCAATTTTCTGCTTGGCTATCTCCAAACCTGAGCATAACTGGGTTCTATGAAAAAAAATATTGTGGCTATAGTTTCCTCTCTTTATATATAGTCTACATCTTGATAAATCTTCATGCCTTCACTAAAATAGTTTTTTTACACTTAGGAAAACTTTCCTTACAAGGTGCATTTCTAGATATGTAAGGTAGATGAGAGAACAAGGGTCTGTTCCACATGCAAGCTTCTAGGAGGTGCACTCTTGTCATGGACTCAGGTATGCATGCTCTCTGAGGTTCCTAACCATTTAATGCCAATTCAATGTAGTGGTCAATAACTTGGGGTTTGTTGTCAAACAGACCTGGGTTGAATCCAGTTCTGCCACTTAATAGCTTGGGTAGGTTATACAACCTTGGTAAGCTTTAGTTCCTTATCTGCAAAACAGGGCAAACTTACAAGTGGCATCAAACTTACAAGTGTTATAAGAAAATAATGACATAATGGATATAAAGTTCTTACATAGTCCATGTAGTAAAGTCTTAATTAAAGTTAGTTATTATTAGTAAAAAATGCCCATCCATTTAGTATCAAAATCAAATTATTTTGTAAAACAGCAAACTAATAAAAACTGAATTGTGTTACAAATAAAAAGTACAAATGTGGGTAAAACAGTAACATTTCCAGAATATCTCTCCTGGCTCTAGTGCATTTGCATATCCTCAGGATTGAAGAGAAGTTCAACCCTGTGTCTGAACCTGAGAGTTTAAAGGGAGGGGCTTGCTTGCTTGCTTCTTCAGGAGCAGAGGGAAAAGACGGCCCTGGACTGCAGTATGTAAGCAATAAACAGGTTTTAAACTTTATTTCTCCCTTTGATTTCAGTTTTTAGAGGTATTTTGCCCCCAGATTTCCTCTCCCTGGACTTACAACAAATCTATCATGGAAAAAAGTATTTTAAATTCGGTCAAAGTATACCAGAAGAAAAATGGAAAAAAATCTACCCTCTACAGACAAAAGCTTTATTATGTGTCAAAAGACTCACCCACTTTTCTTCCCCCTTTTGACAGGTTAAAAGAAGAGATGAGATTCTCCAACTCTTAAGAAAACAAAGAGAAGAAAGGATCTCGGTAAGACTGGTATCAAGGCATTCCTCTAACTTTATCTGCAGGGGTGAACTATGGCAAATTATTAGAGGCTTTATAGATTGACCCCTTAAATAATCTAGATACCCATGGTCCAGGGCCCTGTCTGTACCAGAGTTGGGGCAGGGTATGGACATCAAATAATTTGGCAATCCTTGATAGATCAAAGACAATCACACCAAAGATATCTAGCCAAAGATAACAGAGTGTGCAGTTCTGCTGGCATAGAAATGAGGAGTTACTGTCAGTGGCTTATCTTCACCTATTATAAAGCTGTAGAATATTAATATGGGCTACTTCACTGCTAATTGTTTTACAATGATTGTTCTTGCCTAGATTATACAAAAAAAAATGTTAAAAGAAGAGAAACAAACTTAAGAATAACAAGAACACCCAATAAACTTATGGATGTACAAATACCCTCTAACTCTGGGGAGAGGAAATTCGGGGCATAATACCTAGCCGAAACCGAAAACAGTTAAAGGGAGAAATAAAATTTAAAATCCACTTATTGCTTACAAACTGCAGTCCAGGCTGTCTCTCTCCTGCTCTGCCAGAAGCAAGCTGAGTTCTCTCCCCAACCTCTCAGGTTCAGATAAGCCCAGGTCATTACCCACTGATATGGAAATGAATTACTTCTCTCCTCCCCTTAGGAATGCCTGTTCATAAGCAGATGCACTAAAGCCAGGTGGACTATTACAATTTTATCCACACACCCATTCCCCTGAATGAACCTCAAATTTCCTATCTGGAACATTACTGACCCTACAGTCTTCAGATTTAAGAAGCTAGTCTATGTACTCTTTGATAATTTTACCTCAGATTACTTTTAAGTAATTAAATATCAGTCAGTACAGGAAGTAAAAATTATTTTTGTTTTGTTTTGTTTTTTAGAAAGAACTGGTTTCCCTTCCTTATAAACCAATGACCAAAGTACACAAAGCAAAGTAAGTTTACTTCTGTCAAAAATTTACCTTTTTCATTTTCCTGTAGAGAAGCATTTCTTTTTTTTCACTCATTTTGCCCCCTACCCTCAAATCTAAAACCCACTCACCATATCAGAGACTTTTTGCTTTGAATAATGTGCCCATTAGCATATCTGCTCAATCTTTAAGCATAAATTGGTGCAAACAGGAGAGCAGAATCTCTATCCACCTTGAATCTCTATGCACATTTTCTTCCCCCTCCTTGTCTGCCATCACACCCTCTCCACTTCCCTCTCCCCTACCTTCAACTAGCCTCACCACACTTAGTGTAAGGTAAAATCGAGCTGAAATGACCAGGCAAGGAGGCAACAAAGGAGCCAAAAGTTTAATAGGGCGCAATTCTGGGTTATGTTTGCCGGTCTGGTTAGTCACAGGCCAGAGAAGTCGCGCCCAGCAGGGCAGGCAGTGAGTTTATAAAGAAGTTAGGGGCAGGGGAGCATAGGTCTACAGTGGCGCGAGGATTGGCTAGCCTCAGGCACGTCATCAGGCCGGAATCTGTTGGTCTCTTTGCCTTACTAGGCTGGGGTTGGGGACTTAGCTGCCCGCTTTCCTTATTTGTTGAGGGCTGAGCTCGTCTGACGTGCTCACCCCTCACTCCAGTGCCTCCTGCCTTTCACTTAGCAAGTCAGCAGGTCTTCTAGGTATCAGCTCTCATACCACCAAAGGCACACCTAACATTGCTAAACCTGAATTCACATAGTAATGGCTTTAGCCTCACAATGGTGCGTGAATAGCCTTAGCCTTAGAATAATATTAGAACAGGACCAGGCACATAGTCTAGAAGACTTTAAAGGAAACCAGTCAAGCATTAAATAAACCCTATTGAAAAACCTCTCCATTTTTGTTTTATGTCTGAAAACCAATGTGGCTAACTCAACATTACCATGATGAATATTTATTCACATACTATATATTCAGGAAATAACAAAGTATTCGAATTTTTTTCTTATTAGTAGTGAGGCTAACTCCCTTTAATATTATCAAAATAATACTCTTAAAGAAAAATGAATATGTCTATGCTAATTTAAAAAACTTCTGAAAAAAATGAAAAATAATCATTTAATCCCTATTTACATTGTCTACACAGTGCTCAGCAACTTAATGTCTTGCTTTTTAACCAAATGACTTGACTTTGCATTTAAGGGTGGAGCAAACTAGTCTAATTGAAAGATTAATTTGCATGATTCAAATAAAGGATGAAAAGTTCCACTTGAATAGCATCAGCAGATATGTCAGGATGCCTTAGATTTCTGTGCATATTTTTACAGGAATGATCAGAACATTCTTGCTGTTAACCATGTTGATTCACCTAAGAATAAAATATTATTTCACAGCTTGAGCAGATAATTCCCTTTAATGGTTTAAATGGTTGCTTACTTTTTTTCTGTCAGCTTGCCCATTTTCTTTCCTCTGTTACTGCAGCCTTAAATTTTATTCCATTTCTTTGTGACATCTTCTTTCTCTGAGTTTCTCATGCAGTACTGTCTATTGCATTCTTTTGAAAACTAATCACTCACTACTTTGTACCCATATTTTATAATTATTCAGATCTTATTATCTCTTCAGTTATTTAACTTTACATATACTTTTGACTTGTCTATGACTATGTGATAAGCTCCATGAGAGCTCTCAAAGTGCCTAGTACACTGCCTAAATGTAGAAATTCAGAAAATATTTGTAACAAAAAAGTAAAGTTCAAAACATTATGTAGTTCAGTATTAGCTAATTTAGAAAATGATGTTTTTATACTATACTGTTCATAAACTTATAAACATCTTTTAAATTTTAGTAGTTTAGACACAATTATAGAATACTTTAATTTCACAGATACACCCTGAACATCCCTCCTCCAACAGATCTTAGGATATTCCAGGTCACTTCTGTCAAAAACAAGGAACTAGAAAGTTTGTTCATAGTAAGGTTTTAGTGTCAATAGGTTTATTATCCACCCCAGGAATGTTTACATTTTAAAAGAGGGCTGACTAGAAGGAACAATGGGTAATGCAAAGAAACTGGTTATGAATGATGAAAGCTCAGAAGTTTGGCTCTGGGGTGAGCAAAATATATTGAGGGTGGGTAGCAGCATATTTTCCCACACCCTTCAAATCACACTTAGCAGTATAACGACCACTTCTCCCACATACAAGTTTATACTTAGTTGCAAAATCTAATGAATAGTCATAATCTGACAGTAAATCTTTACTAGGGAGACTTTCAAAAGTTGTTTCCATGCACAGCAACCACAGAGTTCTGTGTACTGGAACTGATTCTTATTATCATCAACAGGAAAGTGTTATCAGAGTCTGATAATGAAGACCAGGAAGAAGTCAAAGCCTTGGACTAATCTGATTGACACGTTGTAGAAGATGATTCACTTAGGTCTTTACCTTTGAACCAACCTGCTCTTATGTTAGGATAATTAGGATCTCTTAGTTAAAACAGGCAACGAAATAAAAGGTAAATATGCTGACTTCTATGAATTTTACTGGTTATTGAAAACTTGTGTCTATTTTACTTATTGGATGCTACAGTATTTGACTCCACATAGTAATCATCTGTCTCATATACTTTCTCAACCTCCTATTTATCTTGTTTTCATTTGAAGGGTATTTCCAGAACTGTTTTATTTGATCTATATTATGAGTATCAGATAAACAAAAACAGGAGCTTTATGTGTCCCAAATTGTAGACTACCAGTAAAAACAATCAATAAGGCAATAGTGTTGAAAGGGCAGTCCTGAAAACTTTCAAGTCTTCTTGCTGTTAAAAAAAAATCCAGTTCCCAAAATTTGGCTTATTCAGTTTCTGGAACATGTCTGAAGTTAGAAATGAATTCCTTCTAATTGTGTGAAGAGCTGGCTTAGCATTCTCATTTCTTTAACGCATGTCGTAATCCCAGTGCCAACCTCCCTCACTTTCAAAGGTCAATCCATTTGGTATATATTGGAAAAGAGAAGGTAAAGTATTTGCCCCACTGGTCAGAACTTAATCACAAGATCATACCAAATGGCAAGGGTGCCTGGGAAAGTAAGTCTTTAAAAGAGAGTTGGGGAGGTCATCTGTCTAGTTAAAATTCAGGACTCTATCACTAAAAGAAGTAGAGAATGGATGTTAGTGAACAACTAGCAGTTTCTGCAACAACTCTATTTGGAGAAGAATGTTTTGAACAGAATAAGGTAGTCAAACCTAGAAAAGGGAAATTTAGAATGTAAATTGGGCATATCTCAGCACTATCAAGACTGAAAGGTGCCCTATCAGGGTGATATATTTGTCTGCCAGGAAGATATACATCTGTTGTAAAGATGGACACAGCAGGCTATCAAAGCCTAACCTTTCAAAATATATAACTTAATTTCTTCTCTTCTGATTTTATGCCCACTGAGAAAACTTTTCAGTCCCCTCAGGGAGAGTATGTCCTCAACAGGCTCATGCAGACATCGCTCTGCTGCTAGGCCACTGCATCTGGGTGGTCTCACTCTGCACACTTGGTGAAACCTCACTCCAGACAAGGGAGGGTTCTTGACTCTGATTGAAGAAGAATTCATGAATGGGTTGGATGAGTATAGGTAAGGAAGGAATTCATTAAAGAGAGAGTAGTAGTGGATGGCAGCAACTGTGCAGGCAGCAGAGAGCATGGAAGAACAGAGGGAGAAAAGGGAAGTGCACTGAACTCCTGCTAAGCGTAAGGCAAATCCCTTGCCAACTCCTAAAGCCAGAGTCAACTGTCATCCAGTGTTCACTTGAATCTGCAGATTTGGGGGAGCCACAGAGCACTGGATGGAGTGAGATTATGTGTTGAGAATTTACCCAAAGCAAAGAAAGAAGATTTTAGGGCAGGCTAGTAAAGGGCATAATAGTATAGCTGCAGTCACATCTGGGTCACCCAGGTGATGGAAACTTGCAAGCCCAAATCAGAGATCTGAGTAGCCTTTCCCTACTTGTCAGAAGTAGGACAGAGAGAGTGAAGACTTGTTCTTAAGTCTGGAAAATTGAATAAAATAACAAAGTAACAAAGATGCTTACCCCTGGGAAAGAGGTCTCCCATTAATCTCCTAACAGGATTGGAAGAGTGTGGAGACAAAATGGACAAAATGCAATAAGCTAAGCAGCAAGAAGGTTTTATTTAAGGCAAAGTATACAAGCGAAGAAAAGGGAGTGTGGGCAGCCTCAGAGGAGGCACCCTTAAAGGCTTAGGGTTCGTGTCTTTTATTTCAAGAATCAGGTAAAGGGCCAAGAGAGCATAGGTTTGACATGTGGTCTCAAGATTCTATCTCAGTGAGAGACATTATGTCATCACCCATAGTCAGTCCTCTAGATATTCTGTAAGATAAACTTAACACAGGGAATTTATTGATTCTGTTCTTCTCCAAAATAATGGTAACCCTCAAGCAGTGGAAAGTTTAGAACTGCTTGCTGTGCCTTAAGATAGGGTCAGTTGTTAGCTAATTACCATAAAGTAAATTAGGAATCGTACCATGTAACTCCCTGCTTTTTAAAAGGAATCTTAGCCTTAAAATGGAGTCCCTTCTGTTCTAACTATACTATTTATATCTCAGTATTTTTCATCATAGGCAGGAAAAATTAACCATGGTAGTTGTCCCATGTCTCTCTACTACCTCAGCTTTATCTGACAATTGTGTCTCTCAATTTGTAAATATATTAGTCTCTTATGTTTGGTTTGGGCTTATCAAACTAAGTATTAGATCCTGGACTAAGATAATTTTACCAGGAAAAATTCTACTTTGCCAGCTTCCTTGGCAACCAGCCTTGCCCTGGTGACAGCACTCTGCATTAGCAGATGTAATGGGTAGGTACTGCCGCAATACCGCCATATAACAAATGATCTAAAACAGTATCATTACTTACACATCTGCAGGTTAACCGTGGGTTTGGCTGATGTAGGTCTGTCAGAACAGCTCTGCTTCAGGCCACACCACCAAGGGCAGGTCTGCTTCTCACTACATGTCTGTTGATTAAGGCAGATCTGCTCCATGGATCACCTTCTTTGGGCTACACACAGACCTTTGGGATATCTGAGCTATGTGCCTCTGAGATGGTGGCAGAGAGATGGAAGAGAACAAACAAAAACGTGTGAGGCCTTCTGCCATCTAGGTTCAGAAGCTTCTGGCTCATCGTTAAACAAGTCACATGGTCAAACACAAAGACTAGAGGCCGGATATTCTGCTTCTTTAGTAAGAGGAACTGCAAAGTCACACCATAGAGGGTGTAGATACAAAGCCATTTGAAGAAGTGGGATTCTTATTGTAATCTTCGCCATGGAGCAAAGGCCTGAGTGTCAAAGGGAGAACTCAGGGCACAATTTAATTATTTGAGCCAAGGTAACAACTTCTCTAAATTGTAAATAAATTCATTTCAATTGCTGTTAAATGCCCAACTATCTGCACAGTTACATATCTATTCGCCTTATCAAACCTTCACAGAACTCTTAAGGTAACTTTTAGTGTTACCAAGAGTTAATTGAAACTTGAGCAAAAGGAATTGCTGAAGGCCGCACAGACATTAAATGAAGAAAAACAGGTTTGGAAACAGAATATCAGATGTAAACTCAAGTGCTCCTTTTCACCATAGCAGTTCTCTCTTTGTTTTGAAAACCAGGAATCTCTAGAAAAAAATGTATATTGGACATGAAATATTCTAATTAGGACATAAGGGTGGGCTGTAATAGCATAAATGTCAATCTTCATTCCACTGATGCTGCTGTTTTCTGCAGTAGCAGAGCTTCTCTATGTTATCAGCTGATACTGAATTAGATCCCCACCCCATCCACCCTGTATTCAGGCCTGCAGTGGGTCAAGCTGAGACAAAACCCAGAATTCAGTGACCCAGATAGGGCTTCTGCTATACTTCACAAAAGCATGATATTCAGGGAAAAGGCAAGGAAATCATATCTACCTCCTGCCACTTAGTTTTTGTACATGAGGTTCACTTTGTCATTTGAATATATTTGAAAATATTTTGTTGGCTATAAGAAGCAAATGTAAAACACCGCTATAATGGGTGTTTAGAAGAGGGGACACATTGTGGTGAGTTGGTAGGGAATGCTTTAAAGATCAAAAGGGACCATTCTTTCCCAGGAGGGCTTGTAACTCCAGAGAGAGGAAATCCACGGGTCAAAATACCTCTAAAACCGAAACTGGTCAAAGGGAGAAATAAAGTTTAAAACCCGTTTATTGCTTACAAACTGCGGTCTGGGGCCGTCTCTTTCCTGCTCCGGCAGAAGCAAGCCACGACCTCCCCCTAACCTCTCAGGTTCGGATAAGCCCTCAGTTGCCCACGTAGTTACCCATTGATATAGAGATGAACTTTTCTCTCCACCCCTGGAAAATGCCTATTGTTATGCAGATATACTAAAGCCAGGCAAGATATTCAGGAAATATTACAGTTTTACCCAAAAGACTCATCTATTTCTAACACCAATCCAAGGCTGAACAATCCCCCCACCTCCCAACACCTGCCCTGCAAAAAGCAGTGCTATTTCTTTTACCTTCAGGTTAGAGCTACTCTCCTCTAGCCAGAACTCCAATTTAGCCACTTTCTCAGGGGATTATCCACACCGTCCCTGTAAAGGAGTGCAGAGAGCATTAAGAGTCAGGAAGAAGAACTAATAAAACTTAACTAAACCTTAACAGCAGACCATTCCGGAATAGTAAGAGATTCAATGTCTAAACTTAGAGAGAGACCAGATCAAAGGAAGAGAGAGCGAGAGGCCAGCCAAGGGCTATTTGAATCCTAGTTTACTAAATCCCCATGGTTTACAACCCTGATATCCACCCTGGCAGGGCCCTTGCTTATTTTTATACTGCTTCTCACTTTAGGTCCCTGTATCTTAAACCGGCTAATAGCCTTTGTTAGGGAAAGAGTGAGTGCTGTTCAGGTGCTAATGCTGAGACCGCAGTATCATTCACTCACACAGCAGGAAGAAACAAACATTCCATGATTGGAATGGTCAAAGGAAAGTGGGGAAATGTAGAATCTAAGCATTAGTAAGATTAGTAAATTAGCATAAGCATAGCCATCTTAGAAACCTAGAAACCATTTTCTGAGAGTGTGACTCAGAGGAAAAAAAAAAAAAACAAACAAACCCTGGGCCTGGGTAAGGCCTTGAAAAACAAGTTAATCATGAGCACCGGGTGGTGGGCAGCTGTGACCCTTGGTCAGCTAACCTTGGTCAGTAAATCTTACATACCAAGCTTATCGTGCAGAACCTCCCTAACCATTGAGGAGTAGTCTTACCCTGCCCTTGCTTAACCCCAGGATATATGTCTTGCAAGAATAATGTATAGTTATAGAAAATTGCTATGAGTTAAGTGCTTTGAAATTGCTATATAAACCCTTGGCTCTGAGTGCTCGGGGTCCTTGTTGAGACCCGCTGCATCGGGCTGACTTGGACCCCAGCTAGCTGGCTGAATAAAGACTTTGCTTGAATTTACATCTCTATGCCTGTGTAGTTTGTTC